GTTTCGTCCGAACGAATTTACGGAAAATTAACTAACGAACGGAGACATAACAATGTTATCTTTGGAAAAGAAGGGTAAGAGGTGATTGATTAATCAGGGATTGATAACATAATAACCCCTGGTTTCTTTGTGCTGTATTTTGAAAATAATAGGACGAGACCGAATAGTTGAAGATTTGGGAAATAAAATGTAGGCTCCAATTAAGACAGTTTTGTTTTTTAACATGGTTATTGACATGTAGAATGAATTGCCATCAACAATAATGGAGACAAGTTAAAAGATGAATCGACGATTTTCTGAGAAATAAGAGGTTAAATAAAAATATTTACTTTTCATATAGGTGGGTGTACATGAACAGCTTTGAAGAACCAAATGGTTCCTTGTTGTTCGTTTTTATGTTATGTTTTGGCTATAAAACACACTCACCTAATATTAATTGATTTTTAGCGTACATAAGACGACTGGAAACTTTCTACTGTCGAGGTCTACTACATATTTCGTTTATTTATATGCGATAACCCCCCGCATAAAAAGTAATTGAGCCCCTCTATATTTGTAGTTACGATTCTGGCTGATTCGGGCCCTCCTTTTGGGTCGGGTCCCTTGGAATTGCAGGGGCTGCGGCGGCATACGTACGCCATTGTCAATAGCTAATAAAGCAACCTGCCCCCCAGTGGCACAGCGGTATGTCTGCGGACTTACAGCGCTAGAAACCGGGTTTCGATACCCTTGTGTAGCTTCGTGCATAATTAAAAAACAAACAAACAACAAAGCAACCTTTTGGAATTGAATATATAATTTTTTATTATATTGGCATAAATATGTATTTTTGAACTCAAAACAACAAGTAATGTTTTTTTACATTCAAATATACTCTAATCCACACTTACATCTCTATCGAGCGCCTTCTGATCGTGGATGATGTTTTGAAAAAGTGAAGTGGTTTAATTAAAAGGGCGATATCTCCATGAACAAAAGGCAAATCAAAAATGTTTTTAATGAATTTTCTTAGATTTGAAGTACAATTAGAATTAACATAAAGATCATAAGCTCCAATAAAAAAGCACAATAAATCAATTTTTAAGACTTAATCAAAATATGGGAAAAATGTACCTTTCTCTGTTAAAAGTTTTATAAAGTGTTTTTTTTTTACAATTTTAATATGTTAAATTTTACAGTAGTCACAACAGGTAGCGCTACAGAATCATAGCGACATTATTATTGTTAAGCATGAGCGGAATTTTAAATAACCAAGAAACTGTTGATTGTCCAGCGTGTTGTAGAAAAATTAAAACAAGTGTGATTAATTGGCATCTAGATAACTGTTTAGAACCTCAATCAGAAAAAGAAATAGAAAATCCTGCTAAAAGACAATGTACTGAATATTCTCCAGAGACAAATAATTTGAGGTTTTCAGGGCCAAATCGGCTGAGATTAGAACCTGAGGCTGAGACTCGTGAGAGTGAGACTGAAATTGAAAATGAAAAAGTCAGACCACAAGCAACAACCTCTAAACTTTGGTTAAATCACGCAAACCAAGTACTTTATTTATGAAATACACAATTGTTAACTAATAAAAACTTAAACGTAAAAGTTTTTTTTTCCAGAATTAAAAAGTTCAACCGAAATTAATGGGTTATTAAACGCTTCTAATGTTATGGTTATTAATGTTACTGTTACTAGTTTTAGTTAGATGTTTGTTATTTTAATTCAAATTAAAAATTATTTATTCTCCACAAAATGCCAATAATTGAAGTATATCACCAGGTTACTGAAATGACAGTGCAACGGAACATTTGAAAAAATATTTTTCTGATTTAGATTTCAGCAGCAGTTTGTGTTCTGCTGTTTTTTTTTAACATTATAAACTATTTAAATATATTTTACGATTTTCAGAATTATTATTTCTGTAATAGTTATAAGAATTAGTAGGATTTGGATTTACTTAAAGAAGACTTGCAATGTGTAACTAAAGAAAATATCTGCTAAGCTGTACTGTAGTATATTTGACAGTAACAAATAAGGCTTTTAGTTTTACTTATTTGTAAAAAAGCTAGCTATGTAGCAGAAGCCCTGTTGTTTATCTTGACTGTCAGAAAAACATTGGAGATATGGCACTGAAGCAAATAAAGTAATGCACAAAAGGATAACTGGTTTGAAACTCAATAAAGGCAAGAAAATGGGGTTGTGGTAAATGTGCACCATCCTGATTGGGAAATTGTAGCTAGTGGGGTCACTCAAAGTTCTGTATATATATAAATGAATGAATGTTAAGCTGACATGAATAGCAACTGTCACAATTTGGTACTTCCAGCACTAGGGAAGAAAAGTGATATTTCTTGTGTACATCCAAAAGTTTGGTTAGCTTCCCTAAATTAAATAACCAACTGAAAAGATGGGAAGATATCCAGCACTAGGGAAGAAAAGTGATATTTCTTGTGTACATCCAAAAGTTCGGTTAGCTTCCCTAAAATTAAAATAACCAACTGAAAAGATGGGAAGATAAATGTTTATTTAACTCCATCCTTTTAGTTATTTACTGGTTAAATGGCTTGTTATTTGAAGTGATGTGTGCTGGTAGTTTTAATTGCTTTAAATTAGCCCAAACTAAACATACCGTATTTTTTGGTGTATCAGATGCACTTTTTTACCCCAAAATTTAATGTCAAAATCTGCTTGCGTCCTATACATCGAAGGTATGAATAATATATGTGTATATATA